CCTATTTCCCCCCAACCACCCCTGCCATACCCCCAAGGAGCCATTAATCCAAGTACTGTCTTTATAGATTTACCTGTCCCGGATTTCATATACAGAAAAACATTAAGAAAACAAACAGGAAAAAAAACTAATAACAATGACAAAATAAGCATCAATAAAAAAAGAAAGCAGATAATATTAAAAACTAGTACGAGTTAACAGATGGGTCAACAGCGAGGTCAAAAGATAAGGCGTTAGATTGTAACCTGACTTCCTCTGCAGTGATCTACTTTCCAGTGCAGTCTGCATTATAACAAGAATATTTACATCTCTCATCAGTGGGCAGAGGGATTCACTGGAGGCTTAATCCACAAGTATTTGCCCATTACTTTTCTGTTTTTTAAAATGGAAACAACTTTTAAATGGATCAAAAGATAAGATATTACATTTTAACCCCACTACTTTTGCCATAATCAACTTCACAGTCCTGTCTAATTACAAGATATTCACATCCCTCAACTATTGTCAGAAGAGATTAACTAGAGGCTTAAACCATGTGTGGGCCTTTAAAATTGATTTGGGGCTTACACCATCATCCATAGTCTTCTGCAAGCCAGGTGTTCACAGTTAAGCTCTGATACCATTCCCTCCTTTTGGAATTGGATTTTATTATTTACAGTCCTTGGCTCACACAGGCTAATGTGCTTCTTCCATGTGGATTTAGTTGCTGCTTCACTGAGATGGCTGTTTGTTTGAAGACAAGCCTTTAAGACCCCAAACACTATTCCTTCTGATAGCTGGTGAGTTAGTTTATTGTGTCAACCTGGCAGATAAACACACGTGGCGTTAATTGAAGGGTGGAGAGATAAATGTCTTGGTAAGCCTCGCCTTTCGAGTTCTCAGGTCTCTTGCTTTGTGATGGTCAGACTCAGTTCCCTGAGTCGGCTGGCAAGGCTCACTTCCTGCAAGACATCCCCGAGGAGAAGCCAAATGGATCTACCCCAATGCAGCCCTGGGTGCTGGAGCAGCCCTGTGGAGACCTCTGCCAGTGCTGAGATGCTGACACATTCACTGATTTGGCTTTTCTGCAATCGGCGTCATTGCTTGTCTTTTGTGAGTTGCAGGAGGATTTTGTGGACTGGTGTTGGACATATGGGTTAATGGGTTAATGTTGGACTTGTGGGCTTGGGCAACACTGGGTTGGGATGTTTTCTTGATGTGCACTTAACCTTTATTTAAAACTCTCTCTTATACATAAGAGTTTCTGTGGATTTGTTTCTCTAAAGTACCCAGACTAACACAGCTGGGTACTATAGTTTCTTCACCACATTTTGCTATAGTAAAATGATCTCTTCATGAGGATGAACATAAAGCAGGGCCATGTCATAAGAATTAATTGTTCTTAGATTGGGGCTAAAATTAAGTGTGAGTCCAGTCTTCATTCAAATAATTATGGTTTATATATGTCTCTGGTTCACCTTAAGGACATCATTGCCATTTTATGTTAGAGAACGTTATAAATCATCTCCCAGGGGCATAAGGTAATTCTATTGATAGTGTCATTAATGTGTCCAATGATATGGAATTTAAAACACTGTCGAGAAAAGGAAATTATAAGAGTATATGCCTGCTAGGAATCTCAGTACATGAAGTGACATGTACAGATTAAACTCTTAAGTGAGTGGACATTATTTATATAAACAATGGGGGCTGGTGATAGGACAGATTTTTCAATAATATTCATTCACAATGGCAGAGTCACACCTACCAGATTAATACATGTCGGAATACATCAAGGATGGCATTAAAATAGTAAGTGTTGGGTAGTTCAGGGCCACCATTCATTGTGCACCCTGAAGGCAAGAGACTGGACCCACCGTCCAACATCTGTCAGTTCTATGTCCTTGGGGCTTTCCCCTTTTTCATAGTGCGGCATTTTTACCATGCCATGTGCTAAAGTGCCAGAAAGTTTTACTTACCATGGCTTTAACAACATCGATGCAAAGTCAGCACAATCAAAGAGGCAACTAAATTATTTGACCTTTTGGGTATCCCAAACCTCCTTGGGGAGCCCCTGGGCCCTGTGAGTCAATACATTCAGAACTGCTATTTTAACAGAACCTTCAGATCATTCACTGCTTTGATTTCACACAATTCCACAAGTCAATTTTGATTAATCGGGACCCTATACAAGAGAGTAGAACTGCTCCTTTGTGTTTCTGAAGCTGTAAATCTTTATGGGAGCAGAAAGCCTCATCTTTCTCCCACAGAGCAGATGGTGAGTTCGAATTACTGACCTCATGGTTAACAGTGCAACTCATAACCCACTACACCACCAGGGCTCCATATTTCCTAGCAGTGCACTTCAAAGGTGAGAATGGATACATGAAAATCTGCTGTAGCACCTATGTGGGGAACATTTTTGGGGGCAATTAAAATCTAGCACACATATGCAGATGAGAACTGCTTTATTTGTGAACTGTGTTTCTGCTCCACACACAACTAATTCCTTCATGTTTGATTACAATATTAAATTCACTAGCTATCTTCCATAGGAAGCATTTGAGGAAAGTACAAGTACAGCAGGAAGAACACTTGTAGAGTAAAAGAAAGAGGAAGAAGGCATCAGGAAAGATATGAAGAAGGAAGGTTGCTGTTAAGTGCCGTGGAGTTGGCTTCGACGCATGTATAGCAGACCTTATGTGTAGCACAACTAAATATTGCCAGGTCTCACAGAATTTCACAGGTTTCACAATTGTTGGTATGTTTGAGCTCATTGTCACAGCTACCATGCCATTCATCTTAAGGAGAGTTTTCCACACTTTTGTTGACTCTCTACCAAACATTACGTCCCTTTTGAGAAACTGATCCTTCTCTAAGACATGTTTGTGATAGTTAGGTTTTTTGGTCACCTTGGCTGAGCCAGAATTCTCAGTGGTTTGGCAGCTAAGGCCTATCAATCCTCCATGCTATGTCCTAAAACAATAGAGGATTTACTGTGAGCAACCACTCAGTTGTAAGAAGCTTAGGGTGGGATGCAACACCCTTATTCAGATTACAGCTCTGATGCAATTGAAAGGAAGTTTCCTCAGGGGTTGTGGCCTGCTTCTTGCATTTTTACTGGGCCTAGATCCTGCATCTGGCTCATCAATCTCTGGTTCTTTGGACTTAACAGCTTGCCATATTGCCTGCTGATCCTGACAGTTGTCAGTCACCAGCCTGCCCTCTGACCTGCTGATATTATATTAATTTGCTTCTGCAGCCACAAGCCTGACCTGTTGACCTTGGGTTCATTTGTCTCTGCAGCCACTAGCCTACGGTCTTTCTGCTGATCTTGGGTTCATCAGCCTCCACAGCTTTGTGAGTCAGGAGAAGCCTCCAGCCTAACACCTGACCTACAGATTTGGTACCGGCCCAAACTTACTGTAAACAGCATGTACAACTGTGTGAGCCATTTTCTCGATATACTTTTGTTTCTATATATACATATGTAAGCTTGACTGGTTTTGCTTCTGTAGCGAACCCAGGCTAAGTCAATGTCCAATGTAAGCAAGACAGTGTCCTGCTGCACTCACTTCTAGGGAGCATTCTGTTTGTACTTCCTACAAGACTGATTTGTCTGTTCTTCTGGTAGTCCACAATATAATCAGTATTCTTTGCTAAGGTCATATTCCAGGTGTGTCCATTCTTCTTTCTGTTTTGTCCAGCTTTCATATGAATAGGAGGTGATTATAGGAAGGCATAAGAGGTGGCAGGGAAGATCACTTAAAACTATTCCCATGGTTTTGGTCAGGCGCACCTTAGATGTAAGTGACCTCTTTGCTTTTTAACATGCTAACGAGGTCTTTTGCAGGTAAGGTAGAATGCCGAACAGAATTGTGCTATATTTGCCAAGTTTTGGAAAGTTGTCAGAAATGCCTGTACGTATATAAGAAGATGTCATTAAGATCGGCCTTAACTTACTTTGCTAAAATCTTCTATATTTGTATGAGGTACTTGATAGGATGCATGTGTGTTGGAAACAGATTCATTCACTGTTGAGACACCCCACCTCACCCCCATTCAGGGAAAGACTGCTCTAAGCTGTTGACATGCTTAATAGACAACCTTTAGCTGTCAGCTTTTTGAGCTGCAAGGAGCCATTTACCCCAGAAAGCCTCACCATTCTAGCCTACCAGTGGGATAGCTTGGCGGGCTCTTTCAACTCCACAGCTCCCCAGGAGCTGGGTGAAGCTGTCTGTTCCCATGCTGCTCAAAGTCTCCCTCTGCCCAGCCCTGCTCTCTCCCTGCCTTCCTACACACATCAATTCTATTTCCATTTCGTTCATGTTTCAGATAATGAATCAGCCATACCTATCAAATTGGGAGTATGGCGGTTGGAGAAAAAAGAGAATAGAGTAAAAATTCACGGTCTTGGAAACATCCTCCTGTAGATGAATTACTTGTCCTTGAAGGTTCCAGTCCTGGCTGTCTATTGTGGGCGGAGGGCGGGGTCTCAGTTCCTCATCTGTAAAGTGGGATTCGTACTTCCTTTGCATGCTTGTGAAGATTAAATAAAGGAACCTGAGAGAAACGCCTAGCACCGTGCCTGGTACTTAAGCATGCAGTAAACATGGATTCTCTCCCCACCCTTCTTAAAGGGTTGTGGGGAAACACACCAGACCCCAAGGGGTCTGATGAGGCCCCCCTCGCCTGCCCCCTCTCTGTTCCCAGTTCTGGCATGGAAGAACACTGAAAACTGTGCCCAGTCTCTTCCTCTCTAAGATTGGGAAAGTGGACTTCTTTGTTTCCCAGGATTCCAAAGCTCGTGCCTCCCGGGAAACCCAGCTCCCAGTTTGCTGA